GCTCATAAAAGGTAAAAAAACAAAAACAAACACAGCACACAATGCAGCTGGATGTGGACAGCAAAACATATTTCCTAAAAATACTGTTTTAGTTCTGGTAAGCAACGTCTCCGAATATGGAAATGTTATTTGTAACTCCTTCGTACCAGTTAGCTTGGATATTGTGAGCTATTTTATATAAATCTGATTGTATTTTAGGTCTACTGGATCACTTAGACAAAAAAAAAACATTGTCTGCTCAGTGCAACAGGCTGAATGGTCAGCACATTTACCTTACCCTGGGATCCCAGGTCCATTATCATGGACGCTCTCTGTGTGGAGCTTGCATGTTCTACATACAGGTCGGTTAAATAGCCAAATGACCAAACTGTCAAGTGTGTGTACAGGTGTGCTTTCCTTGCCACCCTCACATTGGAAGGGTGGAAAGGGATGCAGGGTTTCATATATTTTTCTATGACCTGCCAGTAAGGATATGCAGGGAAGGAAGAGATGCCACACGGAAAGGCTGGATTTTTTTATGCACCTAAGGACCTGTTGGACTTGATGTACAGAATGGCCTTTTTTAGTAATCACAGCAACTTTAAACCAGATTCAGATTCCATTAAGAACAAATGGATCACTGCAATTAGTTTACATCCTTTCCATACAGATGCATAAACTGTTGATGGCTAGTTGCCCTGATTTATTTTACAATCATAGGCAGGTTGTATTTGCAAGACAATTGCCCTGTTCATGGCCAGTGCTCAGGTAACGTTGGCCCCAGAAACACTGCAGTGCACTTTGCTGATTTGCTTCTGAAACGGCTAGCTTGTGTAGATCCATTGGCTGCAATTTAAAAAAGAACTCCAGGCAAAACTTGTATTAACCCTCGCACTACAAGGGTTAACTACTTGTTTGTGTCTAGGTGCTAAATAAAAAAAAAAGTTATATTTCCCATACCACTGAGCCGACTCCCTACTTCTCTGGTCTCTGAAGCCTATCTCCTCCTATGCTGAAGCTTTGGAATCTTCCTCAGCATCCTCACGTCTATACATTGTGTATAGAACGTGATAATTTGTGGGACCTTAGACCGTTGCAGCGGAGGGGAAGAGAGGCTTCAGGGACTGGTCTAAGAGCAAGCTGGCTCAGAGTAGAACTTTTTTTAGCACATTGACAAAACTGAGCAGTTAACCCTTGGTAGTCCTACTGCAAGGGTTGATAAACGTTTTGCCCGGAGTTCATAGTTTGAAATCACTTACCCGAAACAAGTATGCAGATCACTAGGTCGCACTTTCTTTTGACTTTGGTTGCTGCATACTTGCTTCAGGCTAGATTAAACTCTGCCAGGCATTCAGCATTCTGGGAGAATATGGCCAGCAATGGTTACCCAATAATTTCTCTCATGACAGGTTTCCTTTAAAGCTTGTAAAGCCAGAAAAAAATAGTTACATTGCATGCACAGCCAAAACTTTTTTTTTAGTCAGGGAAAAGTTATATTATGCTGTTTGTGTACCGTTTTGAAGATTTCCTCTAACTTCCTGTTGTGTCTCACAAATGCAAGTGTGAGGAATGTCTTGTAGACCACTGTGCTGTTAACCGATGTCCTCATTAAAAGATATCCCCGTACCTATTGGTGATTGGTGATGGCCCACAACTGCAGAAGCATTCAGTGCCTCCTGCTTGTTTCACATATTGGCCCCTGGTAACACCACCTCTTGATAATGTTGAGGCTTGTGTACCTCTTCCTGCTGCAAACTATTGGCCAGAGATAGACAACCCATCATGGTGATGGCCCAATAGAAGTGGGGGCTCTGGCAAGATCCTACACTGCCAAGAAGTGCCTGCAGGCCAAATACTTTCGTTGTTTCAGTTATAGCCAATAGCCTTATAAGCCAAGAAAAGTGTTTGACAGCAAGCACCATAAAGTACCATTCTGAACCTTTAGGGCTCATTACATCTTGGTGTTCTTCTGCGTTGTCTTAACATGTGTGTTTTTGCATGTGTTAACGTCAAGCGCCAAGCAGCCCCTTTAAACGGATGGGCTGCCAATGTACCTAACGCAGCATACCACAACGCACGGCCAGGTGTTGCACTGCAGCGCACGTGTGTTCCCTTGGGTTGCCATTAAAATAAATGGCACTGCAATGTGTTGATGCATGTAACATACAATGCAGTAAAACACACCTGTTACTGCGCACATTACTGCATCCAAACAGTATGAGTGGGCTCTTATTATGCCAATAAGCCTCCTCACAACACACAGACATATAAAGTCCCCGCTGGTTACAAGAAAGTTACACTCTGACATGCTATGGTTATTATTATTCAGCAATTACTGTTTATCATTTATCAGCATTGTACTTTTTTCCCCCACATTCCCCACTACATTCCCCACTACATGTTTTACTTGGAACAGAGACTGTTAGAATTGAATATGATGCAATGGTGCCATCTGGAGGTTGAATAGAGATCAGACATAGCAAACATAGGGACAATATACAGTATGGTAAAACACTTATCTACTGTATACTACTAAACTATATTGGGAAGACGTTTATGCTTTGTGACAAGTTGCTGTATTTGGAATAGAGAACCGACTTAAAATAATAATGAAAAATATTTAATGCAGATTCATGCAGAAAGTGTTAGAACCATGCAAAATTTCCAGTGTTGTCCTGAGTTTACCAGCCAATTAGATCTTTCCTTTCCTCTTGTTCTATACTACTACAGGTGAAACTCGAATAATTAGAATATCGTGCAAAGTTCATTTATTTCCCTAATGCAACTTAAAAGGTGAAACTAATATATGAGATATACTCATTACATGCAAAGCAAGATAATTCAAGCCGTGATTTGTCATAATTGTGATGATTATGGCTTGCAGCTCATGAAAACCCCAAGAACCCCAAATCCACAACCTCAAAAAAGTAGATTATTACATGCAATCAATAAAACAAGGATTGTACATAGAACAATATCGGACCTCTGAAAAGTACAAGCATGCATATGTACTCAGTACTTGGTTTGGGCCCCTTTTGCAGAACTTACTGCAATTACTTTTGCACGATATTCTAATTATTCGAGTTTCACCTGTACATATTGGTTGGTATAGGGCAAAATACCTTTCACTTTTTTTTATTCAGACACTTTGATATATAACCTAAAGTTCCTCAGAATCATCACAATTGAGCAGACAGCCACCCAGGGAGGAAATCATAAGAGATCCCAGGTTGCCCATCAGGTGACCGTTCTGGGCTGTGGATGTCCGACATGCAGATCTGAGTATGCACAGGGCTGTAGAGGCAGGAAGGGATCTTAGGAAATAAAAGTTCCCCCCGTGCTACAGTCAGTTCCAACATTTTTCCAAGAATAAAAATTATACTGAACTGTATAAGCACCACACAGGGTCCACCAGCAGACTGTAAGTGGCTATTCATGTATTGATCTTGAAATATTTTATTGTTTGTATGATCCGTTCAGCTATAAAGCTGAAATCCGGCAAATAGCTACATTACACAGTAAAAATACATATATGTGAACTGTTTTCTTTGTCAGAGGATTTGCAATTCTGTGCTGCAAGTATGGGGAAACAGACACCCCTGCCAGAGGCACAGATGGTGACCTTACTCTCCTCCACTGCAGTTAAGGAATACAGCTTGGTCACCTACCTAGTAGTAGTAGCAGCATAGAGCACTCCTTTCTCCCTAATCCATATATATAGCTTTGAGCAGGGACACTTAGCAGACCTTCTATCAGGTCCTTATATGATTGACTTGATATAGGAATAACCAGATAGTGTGCCTGCTGTATAGTTATTAATGGAAGACTATGCAGAGAGAGCATTGTGCACTGCAAGCTTGCTTATGCTGTTGCCTGATGGCGCTGTACAAAGTAGCACAGTACTGAGTGCTGGCCCTTCCCTTTCCAGCCTGAGTTCTGCTGTGCAAAGGATTACAAAAAGCTGATATAAAGACAGACTTGGGTATTTGTGCTAGCTGTATGTAAAAATACATGTTTTAAGAAATGGATAAAAGTACGCATTTGTTATACTCTATTTGTCTGGATATAGCTTTAGTTTTCACTGACATAGTTTAACTGCTTTCACAGTGATTCTTGTTTATCACAGTCTCATAGCTGCCCACAGCGACTAATCGAATTCGGTGTATTCTTCCAGTGCAGGTTATAAAAGGAATTGGAGAGCCTGATTGGTTCTAGCGGCCAACAGCCAGCCCAGCATTCACTCACCTTGATTTATTTATTTATTACAGGTATTTATATAGCGACGTATTTATATTACAATCTAAGGTTGCAAGGGGAAACCCACACAAGCACATGCAAACACCTTGCAGATAGTGTCCTGACCAGGATACTCACCAAGCCACTGTGCTGCCCCTTGATAAATGAGGTTGAGTGTGTAGGATACATATTTCAATACATAGGGCTTGTCACTCACCCATTGTCTAATCCATTTTGACCTAGTTTCTTGCCAATGTCACCCACCATCACTCCTGGCATTGGAAGCAGAGTTTTGGGGTCACGTATCTGTTTATGACATTAAAAACAAATGAGCTGTATGCATGTTCAGAAACTGATTGACTTGCAAGTTGGCAGAATGTTAGGTTTAAAACTAGTCTACTGATGAGAGGTGAGAAAGGTCATGACAGTCTTTCTTTATAAAGGTACGCATGGATGGGTGGACCTAGGTAACTGCATATTAAAATATCTGATAATTAATCCCCAATAGAACTTTTATTTTAAGTTAACTATATATATTACAGGTGCATTAATAAAGCTGATAAGGTTTTCTTTTTAAAGTAGCCACAACCTGAGCAAAAAAGCCTATCCCCTGCCAGCCTGTGGCACAGAAGGACCCTTGCTCTCTTTGTGGAAGCAGTGGTTTATCTGCATAGGTTCAATATGCTGATTCAGACCTATAGCTCAGCAATTACCAAAGCTCATGCTCCCTGCTGATTGGAGAGCTCTAGCTCTGACTTAGGAGGGAGCATATCTGCAGAGAGAACTTCTCCGAGTCATGGTGGCATGAGACAGTCTTTTCTACTCAGGATGTGACTGCTTTTTTAAAAGGATAAGTGCACTTTAAAACAAAGTGCAATTTTCCTTTTTTTGATAACTTCTCCTGACCTAACCTAACCCACCTTCCCTTCTCAGATGCATACATACCCTGATCTGAAAACAGAGGTTGTGCTGTTTGTTTCTATCCAGTGGTAAAGTGTTTACTGCCTTGGCCGTGCCTGAGTGCCAAATTTCCATTGACTTCTATGGAGCTGTATCCTGAGGCCAGAGAGGATCCAAGACGATCCAAGGCACGGTCAGGAAAGTGAAGTCTTGCGGCACTGGATGTAAACAAACAGCAAAACTACGGCCGTTGTAGTATGCCTATATGGAGGGGAAGGGTGGGTTGGGTCAGGTCAGATGAAGGGAGCAAAAGAGAATAAATGTACTTTGTTTTACAGGGCATGTATCCATTAAGGAAATAAACGAAGACTTTACACAACTTTTTATGCATCTGGAATGTATTACATTGATTAAGACTAAAAGTTAAGTTGAACTTTAAAGGAAGATATTCAAACACAAGGTCAAATGGATCTAATGAGTAAAGTAGAGCAGAGAGCAAGGAAATGTGCCATCAGAATTCAGATCATTAGAGTGAAATAAGTGGAATGTGGCTGCTGACTGCTTCTGAAGGTTTCCTGCACTTTGCCTTACTAAATAAGCCTGAAAAGCTGTCACACTCTCCCGAGCTCTCTGTCCTTGTATATTAACCTGTTAGATCCATGTCTGACATTTACTTCAAAATGCAATGTTCAATGTGGAAGATCCATTTTGCAACTTTGACACACCATTCTCTAAGTCACTGCTACATTAACACCCTAGTAAATGAGAACATAGAAAAGCACAACTCACCTAATTCCATAAAATACATGTCAGTAATAAAAAAAATGAAATTTTTATTTTAGGAGTCATTTCAAATGTATTGTGCAGCACTACTAAGCAAGAGTCTGCACATGTAATATAGTTGTCTCTCATGCACATGTACTATATAAAGGGAACCTAAACGCAAAGAAAAATTGTATGTCATGCCATATACTTATTTCTATAGTTTTAAATAAAATAGGAAAAAATTAAGACACCTGTCACGTTTTTATTGTTGCTCTATGTTAAGTCAGGTTGAAAAAAGACACAAGTCCATCGAGTTCAACCTACAGATATAAGAGAGATAAAAAAAAAGAGAAGAAAAACGTAAAACAGAACCCTATGCCCACACTGTTGATCCAGAGGAAGAGAGGAAGGCAAACTTGCTCCAACAGGGTGAGAAAAAAATCCTTCCTGATCCCATTAGCCAATCGGATATTCCCTGGATCAACAACCGGGGCGACCTACCGCCAGTGCAGCCGGTGCAGGCGCCCCGGGGCCCAAATCGGTTGTAGGGGCCCACTGAGGTCCGTCCCGGGGATTGTAGGCAGAGGAGGACTTAAAAACGGCCGCCACAGCGGCGATCACTCTTCTCAGTGAGAGCTGAGAAGAGTGATCGCCGCTCTCGATCACTGAAGTCGGCACACAGTAGCTACAGCTGTACAGATTCTTCTCCTCCTCTGCGGCTGCAGCCACAGAGCGGCTGAGGGGAGAAGAATCTGTTCAGCTGTCACTACTGTGTGCCATCTTCAGTGTTCGATCTGTCAGCGGCCACCTGCAGCTTCCTCCTCCCACTTCAGCTGCTATAGGAGGAAGACTGCAGGATCACCATTGGGTGGAGACTGCTGGTAAGTGCAGCAAACATGGCTACACCTTACCCCCCCCCCCCC